ATGGTGGTCTGTAAATAATTGAGTCTAGATCGGACAATCCAGTGATTAACATCATAAACATTGATTCACACAATTGGGATATGATGACATGTGTCAACCAAGTCAGCGAGCCTGACCACCCGATCCCATTAGTCACCTCTTACGACAAGCATGTAGTCGCTTTTTAGGGCAAGCATGGGTTTGCTGAAGACCTATTCTACCCCAGATCTTCACGGGTCTAAAGCAGTAGGTACTGAAAAGGGTCAACATACAGAAAATATAGTGTATGAACAACATTAATTTCACAGAAGAACTTGTCTTGTCTCGTATGTGTATTGAGATGGTTTCATCACTTTGAGATGGGAAGATATACTTTTTTGTTATTTATTTCATTATATGTTATCGACTAGAACAATCATAAAACATGAGGCAGCACCATACAGACACAGTGGAGGAACATAATGTTATGATGTCACACACAAGCTTTTATTGTGTTGCCTTGCATGTTTGCATCTGATACAGTGAATGCCTAGCTTAATACCTCTAATGGGATTCTTGGTCAGAATAGGTACTCAGTCGCCCAGTTGTTTTTAGACTCCCATTTGAATTGAGTTGTCAGGAATTTATCTAGGCCTGCTGAGGGGCTGATAGCCCTGAGTCGATCTGCAGCAAATGTCAGTAAAAATTTCCAAAAGGGAATTAAAAAATTGCCAATTGATGTTAAAATAGTTTATACGGCTTGGTGAAGTGACTTGTATATCACTGATAGCAGGACCACTCGAGAGGCTTTAATGTTTAGTTCAACATTATTTCATTGAATACAATGTTAAAATACAATGTTAAAATACAATGTTAAAATACCTCTGATATTAAGAAAATAGGAACTTGTCACAAGGTGCCATGACATGGATTGAATATTTGTGACTGCGTCAAATACAATTCACAATATTGTGGAATCAGTATTGGCATTACTACAACAGTTTTGCATGTATTTTCGAAATTTCATTTACATAAATCTTATGCTTGGTTTCCTTTCTGTGTTTTTGCCTCTATCGTTCTAATTATCAATGGCAAAGAAGCCTATTTGCCTATTGCCGACATCATCTATTGCGTGCAGAGAACATTATCAGCTCCGCATCATCTGTTGTCTGCTCACAGCTGAAATTCCTGCTTGCAATAAAGTTCTGCATGGATAGGATTGTATGGTAATACCAGGACTACAATTCCTGAAAAACACACCTCATGTGGAGTTAACATATGGTTTGATTTTTCTGCAAACATGCCCATGTACATACATCCAAATGGAAAAGAAAAGAATAAAGGGTGAGGCGCAAATGGGTTTAACGTCATGTTCAAGATTATTGCACTTATATAGCAATGTGTGTGTGTGTGTGTGTGTGTGTGTTTGTGTGTGCGTGTGTGTGTGTGTGTGTGCATGCTAGTACTCTTTCGGAATATTGACGATTTATAGTGCCAGCCTACTGATATACAATGCTGCAGTTTCACATGAATACCCCCACTCTGTTACAGTGTCTTGACTCCAACCGTCCAGTCCTTTTTTTAATTCTATGTTTCATGGATTTATTCCAGCTTTTCCACACAAAATCGGTTGAAATTTATTTATTTATTTATTTATTTATTTATTTATTTATATGAAGGTCATTCTGCTTTTCAGTAGGGGCAGAGGGCCTGTAAAACGAAAAATAAAAAAATGTGGCCTAATGCCGAACGCCTGACAAGGTAACAACAAGTACCATCTTTTAAAATCTTTTACAAAACTATGTGAGGGTGCATATTAGATTCATATCAGGGAATTTTCATGTGAAAATTTTTTGACTTTTCACCAATCAAATATCAACATTAATTAGATTCATATTAAAAGGCCAGTCAATAAAATTCAACTGTAAAATCTTGGTCTTACAATTCAATTTAAGCTGGGACATTTTTTTTCGGGTTAATGAATTCATTTGCAGTTTATCAACATGTCAAAGAAGCTACTGACACAGTTGTGTTATGTCACAAAAAGTTTATAAGCCCAAGCCAGACTCGATTTTTTACAGACCGCCATCATATTGCTTGAATATTGCTGAGTGCGGCGTTAAACAACAAACCAACCAACCAACCAACCAACCCAAGCCAGCCACTCACTCATTCAAAACCGGTATTATCTTAAGAACAGGGGAAATTATCCCTACAATTGTGAAGAATATTGACAGCTATGTTTTGTTGAAGTGATAGATTCCCTGTACCATCTTACATGGACTCCCCATATGAATGTCAGCAAATCTATCAAAACATCAGACAATATCTCTTAATTTGTGACATATTTATGATGATGGCTGCCTCATTATTCATATCTGATTCCAAAAACCAAAAGTATCAAACATGTCTGTGATAATGCAGCATAGCGCGCATGAAGCATGATCACAAAGTTTTGACAGAAGAGCTTATATATATAAGTCCACAGCCACTGTCGATCAGGGTTTGCTGCAGCCGTAAACAGATTAGTTCACAGGGAAAACATAGAGGGATCTAACAGCCTAATCACATTGTAGGGTATGGCACTAGGCCAGGACTGCCAATATGGAGAACAGCTCGGTTGGAAAATAGAGGTGAAAATTACTGTTTGAATGCATACAAGTAGTCACACCCAAATACTTGTCATCATTACATATTTTGAGATTTAGTGTATCCGAGTGTTCTAAGACTGCCAAACATGCAGTAGCAATCTTGCATACCACTGATGTTTGTGATTGGTTGCTTGCCATCTTTTATATTAGGGGCCTGTCATCTATTATAGGATGGAGTAGGGGGTTGGAGAGAATTGGGTGGGTTACTGTAAAATGACCTGAGAAGGTCAATGAGAAATGTTTGGGAGGGCCATGAGTAAATGGGCACTTGTGGTTAAAATGTTATTCATATTTGTTTTATTTTCCTGATTAAACTAAATTGGCAATTATTCATTCCTTGGATGGTGAAAGTGAACGCAGTGGGTGGTCATGACAAAATGACGTACATTTGGGGACGGTAATCTGTTTTTTGTACACGCATGGTTACCATGTCTGGTTGATGCCCACTATAGTATGTGACATGTCTGTGAAGTGCTTCCCCTAGACATACTGTGGGTGTCTGTCTGCATCTGTCATTGGCATTCTGTGCACTCAGTCGGATGACTAAGGAGCTGTGTAGATGGTTTTATGTATAGCTGCCGTAGATGGTGAAATTGGCACCAGTAATCAGTTAATACATTTTGTAGCAGGTCTTTTCCTCAGTGGATTGATATTTTTATAAGCTTATAGAATGCATTGTAGTGAGTGAGTGAGTGAGTTTTTACACTTTTCTCAGGAATATTCCAGCAACATCATGGCGGGGGACACAAGAAATGGGCTTCACACATTGTCCCACGTGGGAAATCGAACCAAGGTCTTCTGCGTTCTTCTGCTTTAACCACTTCTGCTACCCCAGCACCCCAAATGTTTTATAGAAAATGAATGATGAAATATCTGTCAATATGAAATGTAAACAAGAGGGAAGATGTTTTCAGCTATTTAAACATGAACTGTATGCCCCATGTAAAATCATAGGAAAGTTTTAAGCAAGATTGTAAGAGTTGTTTCCCTTCCTTTTTCTCTTGGCATGATGCTACTGACAATTGGTCATACGATATTCTTCATTGCGATTTCACCATCTTTAAATTAATCTATGGCCCAAACTAGATCTTACACAGTCTGTGTCAAAACATTTTGAGACTACTAGTCTGAACGTAGCTCTTAGAATCATTTTCAGTAAAATTAAGTGTTGTCATGTGGATAATTATCAGTTGAGCTTACAAGACCGACAGAATTTTACTTGACTCGGACTTCAGACAATTGAATTGTTGATAGGCATTACTTCGGACAATTGGCTAAAGTCGCAGACTATATATACGTAATGATTGGTCATTTTTCCTCATCACGGTATACTCAGTTGTATCAACACATAGAACTCAAACTCTCTGTTAAGGAATTGTATGCTCCACCATCTCCTGCATATTCCAGTCTCGGTCTAGACATGAGAATTAGCACCATGTGTGACCATAGACGTTGTCTCTGTGTATTTATTGTGATCATTAACTATTACATTGATTTTCATCATTAGATGTATGTAAATAGAGTGGGTTTTAAAAGACGTTTTTGAAACTTGTTTGTACTGCCAATTTGACTGAATGTAGTCCTCACTCATTGCTATCAAAGTATTGGGTTTGCTTCAATGAACTGGCAACACTATGATCCCACAATTACACTCATATGACAGTGTTATATTCTGGAAATACTTCTGAGGGTTTTTCTAATGCTATTTTGTCATACTGTGGTTTGAAACTGTATTTCTGGCAGTTTAATCACAGAGTATACAAGATATCTACACGACCACCAGTCGGTAGTACGAGACAAGTGAAAAACTAGAGGGACTATTTGTTTTCTCCAAACATCTTGTTTTTCAACATAAATTGCTGGTCCATTTTGAGCTGTAGCCTAGTTGGTATGACCAATGGTGTCCTCCCCTGGTATATTCATAGAGATTATTAGATAATTGGGTTTCCACATCATAGATTTGATATGCTGGGATTACATATTTTTTATTCCTAATATATGACATTTACAATATGAAATCACACTAGAGTATTAATCTTTTTATCAAATAATGTTATACTTGAAGTAATCAATGTTTTTGACATATATTTAAGTGAAGTAACATTAGAAATTGTGTATAAATACAATGTTTGAGTGGATGGCCCCATTTATTTAATTATTTACGGCCATATGTATCTACAGAAATACCTACACATTGGGAAACCTCTATCTACACTTACTGGAAACATGAGACAGTAACTGCATCAATGTACGGTGCTTACAAGTAGTTCCTGTCAGGTGATATCATTTGCATATTTATTGGTTTGTGATACCAGATTTTTTTTCGGATAAGTTTATCGCATCAATAACAATATTCATTGTATGATAAACAGAGTTATCTCCTGTTTGCAGGTAGCAACAATGTTCCACGATGCTACCATTGGCAACGCCATCAATATTGTGATTGTCAGGATTATCTTGCTGAAGGAACCCCAGGTAAGTGGCATTACAGCACTCAGTCTATTGGCTTTACTCGACAGGAGTGGTTTCCCAGTGATCGATAATAATCAGCAACTGATTGATCGCCTTGCACTGATGAGATGATTGTTTGTAGATACCCTCGGTTGATTAAGGAGAAGAACTGTTTTTGATATATAATGATTATGTTGAATGTACAATACTTCATTATGCCTGCATAGACATAAACACATTCATTATTAACATGATACCAGTCATGCTTCCCTATAAGTATGATTCAAACAAAAATCCAAATGAAATTAAATGTAAACACTTTTTCTTGTAATTTTCTGGAAAATAGACAAGGTGTTTGTTTCTGAATAAAATCAATGGCTAATGACCAATGATTAAATTAAAGATGCATGATCATATTATATTTTTAAAATATTTTTTATGGGAGTTATTTTTTTATTCCAAAATATGACAGATAATACCCTACTCTGTGCAAAGTGTGTCCATCATCCAGTGAAGTCACTCATCTCTATATATCATTAAGGTGGAGGTGATGGAAATATAGACAAGAAAATGTCTGTAGGAGAAAGGCTTTATTGCATCTTGTATACGCCTATTACACAAGGGTTAGGGCATGTCCGTTGTAAGTTTCTGGGTTGTGTTGTTTGGCAATATGTGTACATATGAACCAATGAAACAGAGATGGCCTAGTCTGTATGATGACCGGAAATGACCAAATATATGATGACCAGACAGTCCTTGTCTATGTGATGACCAGACAGTCCTTGTCTATGTGATGACCAGACAGTCCTTGTCTGTGTGATGACCAGACAGTCCTTGTCTGTGTGAGGACCAGACAGTCCTTGTCTGTATGATGATGTTGATGATTTGTTTGCTGCAGGAGGACTTGACCATCATGCATCATGCCGACAAGACCCTCCGTAGTTTCTGTCAGTGGCAGAAGAAGATGAATTTCCGTGATGACGACCATCCCAACCATCACGATGTTGCTATTCTCCTCACCAGGTGATCATTTGTTTATCTTATGCTATAAGTAGAATAGCCATGTCTTCTAAACCACAAAAGCTTGAGTTCTGAAACCAAAAGGTAAACCTTTTTCCTGTTTTAAAAAGGCAGTGCCTGAAAAGCAATTGGTTTTATTTTTCAGCTTTGTGTTTGCAAGATTGCAAGGAGAGGTTTTCTTCCACACCTTACCAAATGGATTGGGTGGTTAGTTTCTGTGACTTGATTGATTGCGTGTCATCGTACCCCGAATGCATGGATCATTGCTCACAATATCAATCACTGGATTCTCTGGTAAAGACTAAAATATTTTCAGTCTGCCGTCATGTGGCTGGATTATTGCTGAGTGTGGCTTTAAAAGAACGAACAAACAAACAAAACAGTCAAAGCTTCCAAGTCATAATGTTATTACTGAAAGTTTAGGAGATCCCTCCATTACAATACTGTAGCAGAGAAGCTCAAGAACATCACCACTCCACCCAACCCCCCCACCTCACCCCCCACTCCAAGTTAATGCAAGTCTACAGGTAGGACAATGTGATATTTCAGACACAACATCTGTTCCCGAATGAACGAGCCATGCAGTACGCTGGGTCTGGCACAGGTCGCCGGCATGTGTCAACCTCATCGCACGTGCAGCGTCAACGAGGACACCGGACTGGCACTCGCCTTCACCATCGCACACGAGCTCGGGCACAAGTAAACTACTTACAGTTTTTCTTTGATTAACGTGTTGAGGCCATCACAAAACTTGTCACTGTTTTGGCAACACAATTCAGTTATATGAAGTTAGGTGGGTAGGTTGTGATTTTTTTTTATCCAGACCATTAAATAAAAATGGATGGACAGTCTGACAGGCTGATTACAAAACATCCCTCTGCATGTGTTGCTGGATTTTGGGGTATGTGAAAAAAATTGATTGAAGCTGGCGAAAAAAAGAAATTCTGCATGGTCAGATTGTTTTCAAGAAAGAAAGGCAGGCCTATTATCTATTGTTGCTGAATTAACACAAGTGCACCAAAAGTAGAAATCAAAGTTTAAAAGATTCTACTCAAATTTTAATCCTGGTATTCCTATATTGAAAAGATACACCAAACTGCTTACTTATAATCTGTATAAGAAGATTATTTGAATATCTCAATATCCCTTTCAAAAGTTTGAATTTGAACATAAAAGTAATTCACCTTAATATTTTCTGCTGTTCTATTTTTAACTCAGAAATTCATTCATTGAATATTAATTCTTGTCACTCAGTTTCTTATGTTTTAAATTTAAAGTTAAACATGTATTCATTATGTTTCAGTTTTGGTATGAAGCATGATGGGGTACACAACAAGTGTGAAGCACCCAAGGGGAAACAGTTTGTGATGGCGCCACATCTCATAGCAGACTCCACCCCCATGAGTTGGTCCAACTGTAGCAGACAGTCCATCACCCAGTTCCTCGAGTAAGTCATGCATTGCAAATAGTTGGGGCAGTGATATTGTCCAATTGTCTAAGTTGTTGCAATTCACTGTGCAGAGCTGGTCCATTAGGCGTGCCTGAAATCTATGTTGATATGTTCAAATCCCAGATTCTCCCTGATCATGTTTCTAGGTTTTTCAATATCATTCCTGGGCTTGTGGATTTCACTAAAGTGGCAAAAATCCTGCATCACTTCAGGCTTTCCTCCCTCATTAACTTGACATGCTGTAACATAACTGGAATACTGTTAAAAGCAACATTTAAACTAACTCACTCAAGAGCTAATACAGCTTTTTGACAAAAGGATGATGCATTTTGTGAAAAAAAATCCTGAACACATTAGTATTGCTTCAATGGGCAGGAGATGTCAGTCCGTTCTTGACTCACAGGGCTGGCACACATGATAGAGACTGCACGTGCCCTTGACCTTTGACTTTCGACTTGGCATATCTCCATCAGTGACTAACGTCAACTGTAGTAGCGTGAGTGTTATGAGAACAATCAGCTGCTTTATATTGATCCTATGAATGAATCCATCAAATGTTTTCATAAAATGAATTTGCGTTTCTGTTTTTGGGACTATAGTATGATAAATATCCATTTGCCACCACAGCTTCTTTTCAGAAATGACGTTTATGTCTCCATATCTCATTATCACTAACCTAGCGCAGAATTTCTCTTGCACATGAGCTTGAAATCAAATGCCAATACAAATAACAACAGAACCATGGAATATGGATGCCATTGCATAATAAAAAACATCAGGACTTCACGACAAGAAAGCTCTTGGAAGCCATAAAAATACATGCCACAAACCTTTGATCAACAGAGATCAAGAGTATTACATCCCATCTGCCCCTGAAGATCTAATCAAGCAATAGACTCTTTTTTTAATTAGTATCAGCTTCTTCATCTTTTTTAATTATTATCCAATCGGCTTTTCAACTTTTTATTCCTTGCTGTACATCATGTACATCTGCTTCTTGTTATCTATACTTGTTGTTGGTAATGTTATCTACTGCTTATCACAACATATCATGTTTATATATCTCTCATCACATGGTTGTAGCTCTTGAGCTTGATATGGTGTAAGGATCTGCATCGCAATGTCACTAAATGCAAAAAGTTGTTATCCATTAAGTTGTATTGTTACTTATTGGGCCAATGTTTGCAGATTGATACATTTCCCTTCAAGACATAATGCATACATACATTTCACCAGCATCTATATTACACTTCCCATAACACTTGACTCACAAATACTGATCACCTTCTTTTCGTAGCCCTTTTCTCCCAAATCCGTTTTGATTAATAGGTGTGGCTGCTTGTACTAGTACGGACTGATGAGCAGGAAGTAATATCAAACGTCCCATCTTACCGTGGAAATAGCATAATTTTAATGTTGTGCTGTAACCAGTTACAATTGCTGAACATATGCCATACTGCAACCACAACGGCACTGTATATTTATTGTTACTGCAGTAGCAGAAGCCTCATCATGGTTAGACGCCCACTCCTATTTTAAGGAAAGGAACAAACCGGCAGTTTACACCCATCCCCTTCTTACACTCACATGTCTGAAAATAGTATGTGTTCCGTTCTCCCAAGCAGTCATCTCATCTGAAGTGGTTCTGTTTGTTCATCCCAGAACTTTTTATTAGTGAGTGAATAGGTTTGATGGCTTCATGTATTGTTGAAACATGATACTCTTCCAGATAGCAGTTACCAAGGTGATGTGGTTGAATGCGTGTCATCATACCCAGACCACATGGATGGTTGCTCATACTATCAATCACTAGATTTGATTTTTTTTACAGGTCGCCATTGTATGGTTGGATTATTGTTGAATGCAGCATTATACAACAAACAAAGAAAACAAACATTAAACAACAAACAAGCAAGACAAACAATGTTGGAGTTTTTCTGAATGCGACATAAACTAACTCATGTATTGGTTTGTATATGACTATCTACTCTGTGTTTGTGCAGTCGTCAGTGGGGTTACTGCTTGGATGACGAGCCTGGCCATCACCCAGATTTCAAGTTCCCCACCCAGCCAGCAGGGATCATGTACGACACTGACCATCAGTGCCGCTTGCAGTATGGGCGTGATGCTGCGCTTTGTGAAGGCATTGAGGTCATCGAGGTAGGAGAGCTGCCCATGCTGATGCACCCACCCACCCTCAGAAATACATGTAACATTTTTTCATGCCCCCACTCTATAATAATACCAAAAATTTTTTTAATGTGTTAATTTCTTATAATAATGTTAATTATTACCCTTTGTTTGTTTAGTTAAACCTGAAAGTGACTCAGTTTTCTGTTTTAATTATTTTAATGTATGTTAACATGTTTGTTATCAGAATGTGTGCAACACCCTGTGGTGCCGAGTTGACAACAAGTGCTCCACCAAACTCCAGGCAGCGGCTGAGGGCACCATATGTGGAACTAACAAGGTGACGACTGGGAATAGATGGCTAGGACACCCACCCTACATCCTTGAAAGACACCTGCGTTGAATACAAACTGAGTCTGACAGACTCTTGAAATAACACCGGGTCAAATTGGGTTGAAATTTGGATTGTGAAACATTTATCTCTAAATATATATATATTCCTTTAGGTACTCAATAATGTGATCTTCAAATCTGTCACCCAGACCCTAGAGAATAGATTAAAATTGAATCCAACTCAAGTCTAGATTTCCCCAGCTGTGCATTTGGTAATATTTTGAGGTTAGTTGATGTAAATTTAGAACAGTACACCATTTTACTTAAACATGGAAGGGAATATTTATATGCAAATGAAGTATGTATACAATGCAACACATACTTTAAAAAAGTAACAAACCCCATTTGTGGCTGTTACGAAACATATCCTACAAAACAGGCTCTTAAACAGCACTCTTATTCATAAGTCTTTCTTGGTAATATGAAATGAGTGTGCAATGATATGAAATGTGACGACCCTTCCATTTGTTTTTCAGTGGTGTTATGGTGGCCGGTGTGTGGAGATTGGCGAGCGCCCCCAGGCCATCAACGGGGAGTGGGGTCAGTGGGAAGGATGGACGGACTGCACCCGGTCCTGTGGGGCGGGGATCTCATACTCTGAACGGCACTGTGATAACCCACCGTAGGTTTTAGCTTGTACACAGTCAGCTCATCAGACTAAACAGTCATGTGGACTGTTTTCATAGTATTGTTTGTTATCCATGAAAACTTAATACAAATGTTTGTCACACCACGGGCCCGTGTTCGATTCACCTGATGGGTTCAATGTGTAAAGTCCATTTCTGATGTTCCCTGCTATGATATTGTGGAATATTGTAAAAGTGGCATACACTCATGAAAAGGGATTTAAAGTTTCTCTATTTGGCTAACATATTACGGTGTCATGATATGATTTGTATATACCTTGCTGAAATCCTGGCCGGGATACATCATAAAGTGTATGGGTGTTACACCAAGTGTAATATTATTGTTAATCATTTCAGCCTCTTATCTATATTAAAATCTAATTCAAATTTAACTAATTACAGCAAATTCTTAAAATCTTCTTCAAAATCAAATAATCTAGAACTCTGTAATGAAGCCTAAGGAATGCCAGCAGCTTTGAGTTTATTGAAAGCCTTATGACTGACTCATATTCACCTTAGAAGTCCACAACACCCTTTTAAAAGCCCTTTTTGCTGTTTTTCACAATGAAGGGTGACAAAATGCTGAAGTAAACAACAAGTTGGTTCATTTCTACATTCTATAACTCACTGTTGGCACAGATCTTTACATCTGTAAATTTAGAGAGCGTATTACTTGGGATCAAATCTTCATTCGTTCTGGAACTAAGATACATTAATCTCTGTCTAACTTCAAGGCCATCCCATGGTGGAAGATACTGTATTGGAGAGAGGAAAAGATATCGTATTTGCAAGACTGATGTAAGTAGTACACATACTTTAACTTGTTTAATCCCATATATTGGTTATTTTTGAAAGTTGTTCTTCATAATCCCTAATCACATACCGGTAATATTTTCAAAGAATGCTTCAGTGAATTTGTGTTACCATTTCAATGTTACAATGTAAGTGTGTGACTGTACACTATATTACAGTGTTAATGTGTGACTGTATACTGTATTACAATGTTAATGTGTGACTGTACACTGTAGTACAGTGTTAATGTGTGACTGTATACTGTATTACAATGTAAATGTGTGACTTTACACTGTAGTACAGTGTTAATGTGTGACTGTATACTGTATTACAATGTTAATGTGTGTATTACAATGTAAATGTGTGTGATTTCTCCATACAGTGTATTACATTGTGAATGTCTGTCTCTCATAGCCATGCCCGGATGATGCTCCCAGCTTCCGACATGTACAGTGTTCAGAATTCAACCGCATCCCATACAAGGACGGTCTACATGAGTGGGAGCCAGTGCTGACACCACGTACGTACAGTAGACAGTTACACCGTTGTTTGTTTGGATATACAGTTACAGGTGTTCATATCTAACACAGGTCGAGCCAGATGGTGGGCAGGTCAGTGGCATCTGCTCTTTGTACAGACACCTTACGTGTCACTTCCCCTATCATGTGTATTTGTTCTCTTGGTGATTGTGCACATCCACAGGTCGCCCTCAAGAACATCCTGGATCTGCCACAACACTAGTGAGAAAAATGGGATGGGGATATTGAGGGAAGCAGACATAAAATATCTCTTAGTCGTCGGTAATGGGGTGGGAAGCAGTTCTGCTTCAGACTGAGAAGTACTATATATCCCTCTGTGTTTCATATTTCATGCTAGTAGAATGATCATTAAAACTAATGGTACTTTTAACTGTTTTGTAATTGATGGGATAAAAAGTAAATGGAAACAGCGTGCCTAAGTCATCTTAGGCAACCATGCATTATATTAAAGATCCTTGGTGAGCACCATACCCATGCTTATAGGTTTCACTATACTGATATACCTTGGATACTATTCAAAACCACATGCTTCACTACATCACTTTTAATATCAGGCATCTGTCTAAAGTCTAGTTTTAGGTGAAAGGGTCTACAGTAACAGTTATCTATGTTTTTTGTCATTTCTTGATCTCAAAATGAATTTAACTTAGGAGTTAAATTTCAACAGAGTTGACCTATTGTTTCAGACACTCCCTGCCAACTGCATTGTAAACCTGTAGATAAGTTCTTCTCGGTCATGCTGAAGGACATGCTTACTGATGGCACACCTTGCATCCCTGGTGGGCGGAACATGTGCATCAGTGGGCGCTGTCGGGTAGGTGCTGCTCCAGACTCTTCTTGGTTAGCAATCATGTGATGATCCTGCATGGGAATTCTGGTTCTCTGTGGGGATTCCAGGGCAGAATAGGTCCCCAGTACTGCCTACGTGTTTCTGTGTGGAGATTCCAGGGCAGAAAAGGTCCCCAGTACTGCATACATGTTTCTGTGTGGTGATTCCAGGGCAGAATAGGTCCCCAGTACTGCATACATGTTTCTGTGTGGTGATTCCAGGGCAGAATAGGTCCCCAGTACCCCATACTTGTTTCTGTGTGGAGATTCCAGGGCAGAACAGGTCCCCAGTACCGCATACTTGTTTCTGTGTGGAGATTCCAGGGCAGAATAGGTCCCCAGTACTGCATACATGTTTCTGTGTGGAGATTCCAGGGCAGAATAGGTCCCCAGTACTGCATACTTGTTTCTGTGTGGAGATTCCAGGGCAGAATAGGTCCCCAGTACTGCATACTTGTTTCTGTGTGGAGATTCCAGGGCAGAATAGGTCCCCAGTACTGCATACGTGTTTCTGTGTGGAGATTCCAGGGCAGAATAGGTCCCCAGTACTGCATACTTGTTTCTGTGTGGAGATTCCAGGGCAGAATAGGTCCCCAGTACCGCATACGTGTTTCTGTGTGGAGATTCCAGGGCAGAATAGGTCCCCAGTACTGCATACTTGTTTCTGTGTGGAGATTCCAGGGCAGAATAGGTCCCCAGTACTGCATACTTGTTTCTGTGTGGAGATTCCAGGGCAGAATAGGTCCACAAGAAAAAATACCCATATATTCAAAATATACAATTTTGTATATTTGATATTTCCAAAATATACAATTTTGTATAGTTGGTATTTCCAAAACTATACAATTTTGTATATATGGTTAGATTTTACCACTGCTTCATTCAATTTCTTCACCTCTTATAGAAGGTGTCACATAATGTGGTTGCAAAGTTTACTAATGATACCGAACAGTATTATTATTGCATGTGACAATAATGCTTTAATATTATTTTCATTATGACAACTATATGATGTTATGAAATAATTTGTATTTCGTTATGTCATCTTTGTTTACACAATTTTCTTCTTTCGGGACATTGGAGCAGTCATAATATTCATAACATCATAAATATTAAGATTACAGGCAAATTTAACAACTTTAGTACTCCATGAACTTTTACATAGTAACCATTTTCTTCATCAAAGCGTTACAAGTACTGTTATTAAATCTTGGGGTAGTCTAAAAACATTAGCATGTAATGTAACAAACGGGAAGGAGAGACCCATGTCTCCATTAGTGGCTATACTGGAGGTACCGTTACTAACACCAAGAAATAATTTACAGGCTCTATTTTGGATTAGATTAACGTTTTATCCTCATATACCAGAGCCATAGAACATTACCGGCTCAACAAGACTTTCATACAGTTTCATAAAAACATCATAAGACATACACCCAACAGAATAAGACAAAGCATGGCTGGCAGAATTGTACAACTCTTTCACAGTTTCACATATCTAGATGCTCGTCAACCCGTAGTCCCAGATAACGATATGATTCTACATAGACCAGTGTTTGCCCAGCGTAGAGGAATGAAACCGATGATCTCGGTTGTGATTTCTAAAATGAATTACGTTTGTCTTATTCATATTCACTGACAGTTGCCAACGTGTTGACCATTCATGCAGTACATTAAGCATGGATTGTAATGAACATTCATTGGGGGCAGTTAATGCAATATCGGCAGCATACATTAAAATGGAGAGCATAGTCTCATCAACAAGTACGCCACAATTGAGATTGTTAATAGCCAGGTCGTTAACATACACAGAAAATATAGCTGGGGATAATTTACAGCCTTGCTTTACACCATATTAAACAGTAAAACGTACTGTAAGAAATTCTCCTACACGTGCAGTACAATTGACATCGACATACAATCGACTGGATAGCATTCAATATCTTTTCTCGAACTCCAATATTCCTCAGCTTCGCTATAAACGGTGTCGAAGGTTTTTTTTACATCAACAAATGTAACAAAGGTTGATTGTTTTGTTTTTTTCTATACTGAACTAAAGACGTTTCAACCTATAAATGATCAATACAGTCTCATTTGGATCTAAAATCATTTTGCTTATCAGCTATGATATTGTCCTTTTCAAGCCACTCAGTCTTTAATTGAGTACATAAGCATATACTTGTTAGGAATAGATGTTACAATGATACCAAAGGGTTTCTAAAATCCTTCATACCGCTCTTAGGAATAGGATGGATATATCGCTGTTCCACATAGCTGGTACAGTTCCATTTACAAAGCAAAAGTTAATAATTCTGTACAACAAATCAACTGAACTTACATTTTTTTAACACTTCTGCAGGAATATCATCCACACCTGTAGCCTTTCCATTCTTAAGTCTAAAGACTAAAGACTAATGGGATGTCTGGGAGTGAACCTTACATGTTTATCATTTATCCCATCCATTTCTTGAACTAGCTGCTCCGAATTGAGCCATAATTCATTCACCACAGTCCTAAGGGGAAATTCAAACATATCCACCTATAATTCACGACTACTGCAATCTTGTCAAATAGCATGTGCTTGACATCAGGTCGATTTTATTGATATCTTGTAATGACTGTTGGAATATTATCTATGCATTATCCTATCTAAAAATCTAGATATATTTACAATATCATGTATGCATTTTTGAATCATTGTATTCCGGAGTGGTCTTCATATAAACTTCTTGACCAATCCGCTTCATGTACATTTTCAGAAAAACAGAACATAACATGGGAATACCGTTCGAATTGAGCCTCGCTCAATTCCCCTGTGCGCTGTGATTTTTTATTTATTTTTTTTAAATGAAAATTTTACAGGGACTAGCTGTGCTACCACAATACTTGTGTTAATTAATATTGATAACATTGAATGTTAAACCATTTTTACAGTTTTGTCTAATTTTAGCGATAATGAAAACTGAGTAGAGATAAGATATATTGATGAACAACGTCTTTATTACAGTAAGGAGCGACGCTTAGGTGTATGTTGTAACACCATTATCAAGGAAGTGATGTTGTTCATCCACAGATCTTATCCTCTCTCAATACTCCAACTTCTAAATTCCTCGCAAAGAAGATAATGATACTTGTTTTGAATCTTGCCATCGTACAAAATATTCTTCGCACAGTTTTCAAGAAACAATGTAATATTAATATCATATTACGCCATCAATATATGTTGTGCAATATTTGAGAGGTTGGCGCCTGTCGGGACGGTGTGAGATGCTAAAACTGTTCTTGTATAGTCTAGTATCCTTTGGCTAATGACAGCTACCACTGTTTATTCCCATTCAAGTTGCTAACGGTGTTTCATCTAAACAGTATTATGGGAACGGAAATTATAACATTACTTCATTCGTTATGCTACCATTTTTGAATATATGTCCATGAGATTAATCTGTTCATTTTTCCGTATTTTTATTACGGAACTTATAGCTTTGTGTGGCATAAACGATCAAATAGTAAGATGACTACAATTAAAGGACATTAATAACGAGAGGCTGTTCACATATATGTACATCATATATGTATCACGCGAATCATTTCTGATTTTACTCGACGTAAGAGCTAGAAACGTTACCTACTTCCGGCGCAGCGGTTCAAGATGTTGGCGCTATCTAGATTGGGTCCCTGACACATGCAGCTCTATTTGATGGGTGTATTGTACTTAATAAGCTGAACTTTTATAAATCTATTTTTTGCAAATATATACTAGTCACTCCAACTAATCATTGTTACTAAAATATATAGGATTGTTGTCGATAACGTGTCCATTCGTATGTCTGTTTTACGTCTGTTCTACTAATTATTGACACTAAGAAACTCGTACAATTTTTTAAATCGTTACTAAACGTGTTGTACTTGTCTACATCTTAATTGAAAAGTGGGAGAAAAGTTGCTTACTGTATTTTGCCGCCTTTGATGGTTCTGATGATCAAGATGACAACGTCAAAATCGTAGTAATCAGGAGTCGATGAGGATTCAGGAGTTTTTGAATTGATGCAGAATCAAGGTTCATCCTTTCCTTACTTACTTACTTACTTACTTTGGAGATTTAACGTGCGCTTTCCGACTGATGCGTATTTCGCACACGGGCCCGGCCAGGCCATTTAATGTGTTTCCGAAAGGGGCGAAGGTGGTCTGTGCAACCCAAGAGGGGGGTTTTAGGGGTTGCTTATATAGAATTTGGGAATTTTGAGATTTGGAATAGATGCCGATGGGATTGGGGAGGAGAACTAAGGGAGCTGGGTATGGTGGATGTTTGTTTGTTTATGTGATTTTGATTTGGTAGGTTATTGTGTTTTTAGATGCGTTTTATTAGTTCCGTTTTTATTAAGAATACGCCTAAGGCCTTGAAGTTTTCTAGTTTATTTTGTGGGTTTAGTATTGCTTCTAGAGTTAGAGCCTTGTTTAGATTGAGGGTGGTTTGTAATGCGGTTCGATGTGTTAGGTAGTGTGTGCAGTGGATGAGTGCGTGTTCTGGGGTTTCTGGTTGTTTGCAGTGTGGGCACTTACCTGTAGTGTGTTTTTTAAAATTTTTTAGGTGGTTATTTAGGTTGGTGTATCCTGTTTGGAGTTTAGTGATTACTCTGTCGATTTTTTTCGATGGATGGAGAATTTTTGGTTTGGTTAGTGGTTTGCTGAGCACTTTTTTGATTTGGCTATTTGAGTTTAGATATAGGTTATGCCATTTTTTGGTGATTTTTTGCTTGTTTACACTTTTAATTTCTGATTTTGAGATGGGTAAGTTTAAGCTTATTTCTGGGATTTTGAGGGATAGTTTAGCTGCTTTATCGGCGTTTTCGTTACCGTATATTCCTACGTGGGCGGGTATCCACAAGAAGGTTATTCGTTTGCCTGCCTTAGTTAGGTCGTTGGAGCTTTTAAGTATTTGATTTATTAATTTAGGTCGGTTTTTGGTATTTTTGTTTTGGAGTGCTT